GAAGGTGGTACATAACTTGTTGCATTGTTTGCAAATCCTCATCTGATCTTATCAAATTTTTTCATAATCTCTTCCTAAAACCTTTTTGCTAATATTGGTATTTTTTGCTCTTATTAATATTTTTCCTTTTTTTTCGATATATCAAATGTCGTTGATTGACGTCATCTGAATGACATAGGTTGACCCATTTTTTGGTTCATGTAAACTACTTTTCCAAAAAAGGCTTAAACCATCGAAAAACTCCCTGAAAACTAATGAAAACTAATGAAAACACAAAAACAAAACTTAAAAAAAATCAAGCCACCTAGGGGACTCGAACCCCTGACCTTAAGATTAAAAGTCTCACGCTCTACCAACTGAGCTAAGGAGGACACGTAGCACAATGTGGGAGTGCGTACAAGAGGGCGCGCCCTCTCGTTACTTTTAAGTTCCCCGTGAAGGTATTTGGGTGGATTCAAAAATCAAAAAAATCCAATCAAAATAAAAAAAGGAATTGTCTCATTCAAAAGAGAGAAAATTGGTTTTTCCAGGGAAATATATGATGAAAATGTATCAGAATTTGAAATGTATCAGAACGGAGAAAATGTATCAGAATGGAGAATTGTGTAGCGTTTAGTACCCAGACAGAGGTATAAAAATTTATATTCTAGACATTTCTTTTTTGTTGAAATTCGCAGAAAATTGGATTTTTCAGAATGGAGAAGAAACCACTTTGAGGTTTGAAAATTAAAATTTTCAAAAATTTAGAAATTTCAAAAATTTAGAATTTTCGAGAACTCTAAATTTCGAGAAATTTCTGAAATTCAGAAATTCAGAAATTCAGAAATTCAGAAATTCAGAAATTCAGAAATTCAGAAATTCAGTAATTCAGAAATTCAGAAATTCAGAAATTCAGAAATTCAGAAATTCAGAAATTCAGAAATTCAGAAATTCAGAAATTCAGAAATTCAGAAATTCAGAAATTCAGAAATTCAGAAATTCAGAAATTCAGAAATTCAGAAATTCAGAAATTCAGAAATTCAGAAATTCAGAAATTCAGAAATTCAGAAATTAAGAAATTCAGAAATTCAGAAATTCATAAATTCAGAAATTCGGAAATTCAGAAGTTCAGAAATTCAGAAATTCAGAAATTCAGAAATTCAGAAATTCAGAAATTCAGAAATTCAGAAATTCAGAAATTCAGAAATTCAGCCATTCAGAAATGCGGAAATCCAGAAATTCAGAAATTCAGAAATTCGGAAATTCAGAAATCCAGAATTCCAGAAATTCAGAA